TTCCTATGGGAATTGATACATTTACGCTCGCAACTACAACGCCGCTCCGAGAAGGTTTACGTACTCTCGAACAGCACGGCCGATTTTCGTAATGCATTCCTCAAGACTATACGACAAATCATACGCGAAAGTGTACGCAACATGTCCATACCGATGAAGGGTTTCGGCAGTAGCGGCTCAGTATCAGGCATCTCATCGCAAGGTGGCGGTTCGGGCAGTTCGCAAACGCTCGAGCGACCAAAGCAACAGGTCTAGGAACTTAAGCAAAGAAATATTTGCATAAAATTTATATTTGCAAGTTCGCTGTATGCTAATTTTCGCTTTTATATTGCAGATAACAATCATTCAAGGCTCGCAGACCTTGGGTAAGCCCAAGAAGAAGTCCGGTTCGCAGCGTCATTCGGCCGGCAATATCGACTATGATAATCTATCGGGCAGCCAAGAGGCCGACGATGTGCCAATGCTGCATCATCAGCATCAACAACAACAACTACAACCGAGTGGTTTCCGTGGACGCAGCAAGACTGTGGGCGATACTACAGGTATTTCAGAAATATTCCGTCATTTTTTGTAAATAGTTTGGTGTTTAGGCACAATTTATCAACTGTAATAAAATTCTATGCTAGCCAACAATTTTGCGGAGACAAGTTTACCAAAAATATTTTTAATAAAACGAAAAAAACTACAACTTTTGATTATAAAAAAACAAATATACAAAAAAAATTTAAAAACAAAAAATTATTTTAAAAAATTAAAAGAAAAATGGTACACTCTTCTCCGTTCTCTGAACTCTCTCACAATAGTATTTCTTGGCTAAACAAAATTTACTACCTGCTTTTTCTGCTTCTCTATTATTTTTTATACTCTCGCAACCTGTTGCTACAGAGTATAATAGTTTTGTTCACCTAACGGTTGTTTGTATCACCTAAAACTAATCGAGTTAGATATAGGGTTATATATATATAAATGATCAGGATGAAGAGACGAGTTGAAATCCGGGTGACTGTCTGTCCGTCCGTCCGTCCGTCCGTCTGTCCGTCTGTCCGTCTGTCCGTCCGTCCGTGCAAGCTCTAACTTGAGTAAAAATTGAGATATCTTTATGAAACTTGGTAGACATGTTTCATG